TCAGTGAAACACTACATGCACAGAGGAGATCTAAAAGGAACAAGGTTTAACTATTTAAACTGTTTGCTGCCACATAGTGCCTTCGATAAAGGGAAGAACTTCACAAATCAGTGGTACTCTTTGCCTTGTCTTCCCTGAAAACATCTCTGTGAAGCCAGAAATCAGTACAATCACATCTAAAGATGAAAAGGAAAAACTGCATGCGTTGTCTGTACAATACACACAGTGAAATACCCCAAAGCTTTTCCTACTGTACATAGCTCTAGAGCCTGCTTTAAGTGATTTCTTTTCTTCACCTTTATTATTTTCTTGTACTTCTGTATGTATAGTGTAATAGTCTTTTTGTTAACTTTCTTTTTTCCCTTTAAGTGATTAAGCACGATCATGTCCCTTTTTTTAAGCTTTTATCTGAGAGAAGCAATGCCTTAAAATAAGAGCATTAATAAGAAACTATGCACAAAATAGCTTTCCTCTGCTCATTCTGTACATTGCTCTTGTAAATGCTGATGATCTGTGAAGACCTGCAGATGCAGCGTGGTAAAAATGCAGGAAAAGTTGGAAGAGTTATGCATATAGTTCACTCTGTACACTGAGTTTTACGGTGGGTGACACAAGGTAGCATTTTGTCTGGCGTGAGGAAACTTTTTATACGAAGAAACTTTCAACCCACCAACAGATCAGCATCCAATTTAAGCTTGCTTCATCTGCTGGGTATCTTGCAGACTCCTGAAGAGAGATTCATTGGGGAAGTACATACAGTGCCAAAATCAACAGCAGCAGCATCGTACAGCTTTGTTCAAGGACTTTAAATGCTTTCCTGTTTTGGCAGCCAGTTTCTAAACCTGACTTTGTGGTGAAGTCTCATATTTATAGAAAACAAGGATAGCAATATTTAGGACAACTGAAATAAAGGCTGGAAAAGAGAAATCAAACAGACTTGAACACTGAAGCAACCTCAAGCATCTCTTTATTTTGATGATCTATTTTTTTAAGGAAAATATTCACATGATCGGGGATGTATGTAACCAAGATCAAGAAAATGGAATTCCAGTACAGTATGCATGAAAGACGGCACGCAAAGAATTATGTAGCAGCACTTAGCGTGAGGCTGGAGGGAGTGCTCACAATGTAGCAAGAGACAAAGTAGACTGTCACCCACTGTAAACATTTGCCAGTGGACACTTTTATTAGGAGTTTTACAAGTGATCTATGTGAATGCACAGAGGCCTTTGTTTTGAAGGCTTTGCATTTTTTTATGTGGAAAGAAAATGCCAATCCCAGGTAATTAGGCAGTAGACCCAAAGCACTTGCATTCAATGCATTTTGTTTATAAAATGAGGCCTTGTTTTTCAGCTTCATCTGCAGTTCTATGTGAAGATTGACAAATCAGTTTTTACCTGTTTATTAATAAAACCTAATTTGGATATCTTGAGTTGATGGTTTTGTGATTTAGCTGGGTAAACTGCCTTTGTAACAGATAAGTTATTTATAAAAATTAAAAAAAAATTATATTCTAATGTTTGGTTTTGTGATTTGTTTGCTTTTTTCCATGCTGTGGAGCAACAGAATACTCACGGAACAATAAGCATTAACGGTATTAAAAGTAGGCTGATTTCTTACGACCAGAGATTTTATTTAAGCCTTGGTTTTGTTGAATCTTGTATCTTTCCTCCCATGCATTATTCTGTTTAATTCTAATTCAGTGAGTGCAAGGAATGTATTCCATAAAGTTGCACTGACAAGATTGTGTCCTGACCAAAGAACCATTCACTTATTCATAAAGGAGTAAGCTAGACACAGGCCCTTTTTACTTCATGCTTTAAGGGTTTATGATTTTAGAAATACTGTTCGAAATGGGCAACCAGTTTGTCTAAGCTAATAGATTATATACTTTGTGTACTGTTAATAGAAGCACAGTTTAGGAATTAATATGGTTAAACTGTATTTTGGTGCTATGTATATTATAGTGCTATGAGATGTGGAGTGTTCCTGGACATGCCTTTCCCACTTGGACCCTGTCTAGACAGACATTTGCTATGTGGAGTTGGGCTTTTCCTGAGTCACAGTGATGCCATGTAAAAGCCCTTCAGGAGCCATCTATAAACAGATTTAACTACAGATCCAGCAAAAAGCTTTCCTTAACACAGATTGATCAACTGGAGTGCCTTAATCTGCTGTATGAAAAATAGTGTTTGGAGTGAGGAGGGCAGCTGCATTGAAAAAGCAAACAACAAAACTCCAGTCAGCTATGGGGTGGAAAAAGCATGTTCAGAGAAATAGGTAAAATGGAATTCTGCTCATCCTATCAAAGCATAATTAATCTTTTCCCTGCATTTTTTGAGTGTTTATTTTCTGAAGGAAAAAAGAAAAAGAATATTTACATCCTAGCTCCAGCTAGTTATGCAGAGCCATCAACACATTAGTATGAGAGTGTATCAGGCTGTATTTTCAATAACCGATCCTGGAATAGTGGGACAAGAGAAATGACATCTCCAGTGTCGTCCGTTCCACAGACTTTTGCCTTCACTGTCAGGGGTTTTATGTTCTTCCTGTATTTTGGGTCATGTATATCGTTACTTGTTTCTTCAAGTGGATACCAGTATATTGGCATATCACTGCTGTGTGTTTTTAAAGGGTAGGTTTTTAAGGGTTTAAATTTTGAAGGATGAAATAGAACTATATTTCACTGCTTTTTTTTCTTTTCTGTTTCCTCATAGAAGATAAACATAAAAAAAATGAAACATTTGCTATAAGGTTAAACTTTATATTGTGAACATCAGTAGTTTATCTTGGATGCTGATTTATGACTTTATGTTTCTGTACTGTCTTTGTCAGGTATCTCTGTAATTGTTAAAAAAAAAAAAAAAAAAAAATTTCACTCTTTAGTAGGAAGGGAGAAGCACACACTTCCTGGCTTTTAGAGATGCTTCTGCTTATTTTTCGTGAATGTGACGTGCATCACTTGGTCAAGCTTCAGAATTGGGATAACTTTAGAAATGCAGGCGGTGAAACTGAAGAGCTGGTAAAAGGGCCGCTGTGTCACGTCAGCTCTGTGGAACTGACTTCAGTTCACATTGCTAGTTTTCTACATAAGTTAGAAAAACATTTGTCTTCTGCAGTCTCCTATCAGTAGAGCTGTTCTGTTGCCCAGGAGTATGGTTATGTGTGGCACACCTAAAATTCAGATTAATTGTCAAATTTGGTATCATCAGTCTCAAGCTAATGATACATCAATTTTAAAACTGCATGGTCAGTATTTGTGCCTGTCCGTGTGTGTTATTTATGTGAGCTTAATCAGTTTTATGATCTTGAAACGTCTACCTTCAGCATATTTTGTAGATGCCCAGGGAGAATACATCTTTCATTTTAAGAAAAGTATCGTTATCAGTACTGCATTTCTTCAACCAAATTCGTCTACATTGAATGTACATTGGAGCCTAGACACAAATTAAAGGAAGACTTGATTAAAGATGCTGAACAAGCATTAAAAAAAAAAATAAGCCAAATACTGAAATCTACTGAGTGTTTGCCCTTTTCAATACTACTTCTTTGCTATTCTAAAATGGGGAGTATTGCTATAAAACAGTGGCAGAAACTTTTCAATACAGTTCACTAACAGCATCTATAATGTAGCTTGTGATCCATGGCAACTCTTATAATATTTAGTTCTAACTTTCAATAGTAAGGAAATGCTTTGACATACTTTCTTTATCTCGTATTTGTTAAAGAAAATCATATAGTTTGAACAGAAAATACAAATTAGCTTTAAACTTTTGATTGCTTTCATTGGTACAGAGTAGAATGATTAGAGTGCATTCCTTTTTCAAGCCTGACTGCTTGAATAGCTCTTTTATTGCTTTGAGGAACAGCCTTTGATTTTATGTAGCCCAAAATGCCTTGTGAGGCTCATGTTTTGTGTAACCTACTTAAAAATTACTGGAGAGTGAGAGAACAGGAAGAGTTAGTGTGAAATGGTTGAGGGCTTCAGGCTGCGTGACGAGCTTGAATGCTATAGGAACGCTTGGGGATGATGATGAACATTGAGAATGATGCAATTTTACTTTTTTTTCTTTTTTTGCTACAGTTCTCAATGGTTTTTTATTTGTTTCTCTTTGAGCAATTCCACATCAGTTACATGTTTGCTTCTACACTAGAGCTTCTCAAACAGTGCCACGTTCAGAGGCAGCACTGGTAGAACTCACTGAAGTGATTGCTTCATTTAGACAGTTAATTCCTAACAGTGTAAGTGGATGTAATTATGTTTTCATCAACTATGCAGATGTTTTTAATATTTAACCAAAATGTTACAATCTCTGGCCAGTGCAATGCTGCTGCAGGCGTGAGTTTAGCCAACTGTTTTTCCCAGTGTCCCATTCTCTTCATTGATTTAAGTTGCAGATATCTATGCATAGTTACAGAGGACTTTGAGCCAAAATGATTGGTTATCTACATGGGTTCAAACTGCCTATTATTTGCAAGTTTATTTAAAATAATAAAACACTATCATACTGCATGTGAGAGCAGATTTTGAAGGAGAAAAGTAGCATATCAATTTTGGTACTATTCAAATGAGCAATCTGAGATGCTTGTATAAACCTAATACCATTTTTTATGGATGCACATTGTGTTACAGCTTTAAATTCTGTGACTGCTTGCTATTTTTCCTCACTCTTTATAGGAGTACAGTGCCAATACAATTTTGATGTAGCTGATTTGGTAACAAATTAATGGAGAAATGTGTATTAAGCATTTTTAATGTGGTTTTGTCTTAGTAGATATCAGCAGACCACATCCAGCCAGTGACTGATAAGCTTTGCCTAAATTCAAGTTCCTGTTGCAAGTGATTGAGATCCAGGGCTAAGAAATATGATGATGGAGAGAGGGAGGAAATGGACTAAGGAATGCTGTGTCCTTTGTTCTTCATATGCAGAAGCAAGCGGTGTTGCTTTTCTTGCACCCCATTAACATGCAAACATGTTACATGTAACATGTAGCAAGTAAACACGTTTATCACATCACATAGCCAGTCATCAGGGGACGTTCCTCGTTTTTGTGGTGGTTGATTGAGTTGGTTGATGTGTTATGTTCTGGGGCATGATGACCAAATGTGTTTCTGTCCCATGATTTCTTTGCAGGCTCGCACAATACAGTGCGAAGCAAGGTCATCAGAGGAACAGTAAGGTTGGGGAACAGCAGCATCAGAGTATTCAGTTTATGTGCATTTTGACAGGAAAGGATGGCAGACATCTCGGGCTCGCTTCAGAAGCAGCAGGAGGTGCAGTCTGTGTAGGAGGTACCCAAAACCAGTTCACACACAACTCATTTCCCCTTCATGAGAAGTGCAGGTGTATCTGCGCGCGTGACAGTCATGTCTGCATCGTGTGCTGGGGTCTCACGCTTGGCATGTTTGGTTATGTGCCAAGGAAAGGTTCATAAGGTCCCACTAAGAAAAGGACAGTGGGAAGCGAGTCCCTGGCGTGCTTCGTCCGGCTGGTACGCGGCTGCTTACCCATGGCAGAGGAGGGGTGGCTGCGGATAAAATGGGTTATTCTGCCCCTGCGGTTTTGGAGGTTGGATGCTTATTCCTTAAAATAGACACTTTATAGTCTCAAAAGGAAGGCCAATGCATCAGTAGTTATGGGTTAGCTTTTTACCATCATCCTACAGTAATAAACTCTTAAAAGTGGTGTTTTCTGATTAAGATAATGAATCTAGAAGTGAATTCAAAAGAGGTTAGTGAATATTGATAGCTCTTCTGATGTCACAGGAAACGTGTGTGTCAGATGAGAGGATGGATGTTTGGAGTGAAATCTTGATTATGAAAATTATCAGCCCAAAAACTTCAAATAAAGAATTAGTTTTATAGTGGCTTTATATTTATGTTGATCTAAGATTATAAGCAAAGCAATATTTGTATGTATGGAATGTCTCTTATCAGCTGATAGAAAAAAAAATTACTTCATTTACAAACTACTCATGGTAGCAACTCTGTACTTCATAGTTAGCTGTAAATTGTAAGTTGGGGAGCCCTTTTTTTGGTTTTTTTTGTTTGTTTTTTATTATTTTTAATATTTGGCATTTCATGTGTTGTATCCTGGGTAGAACATAACTGGACAGATGGATTTATTTTTTACAAAATCTTTTCTCAGTTTTGCTTTTGTTGTTTGTTTTTGTTTTGTGGTAGTCAGATTTCCAGAACGACTTGTGTGGTGTCTTACAGTATTGTAAGGGAGGCTTACTGTCACCCAGTCTGGGGGGCTGCTGCTTGGAAGAAACATGCAGAAGATACTTGGATGCGTCACAACCCTTCATACTCCTCCGAGTTCTTTGGAGCTAGAGCTGGCTGGCACCCTATGAATCATAGTGAAAAAGTATGAAATGCCACTCAAAAGGCATTTGGCTGAAACTAAGTTTGTCTAAAGGGACTTGTTAGAGAGGACAGGGAAGGTAAATTGGGAAAGTTGTAAGAACCACCTTCTTGTGCAGCAATTGAAGCAGGAGCAGGTCTAGCACTTCTTTCTGCTGGAACATTTATGACACCACTTTAGGGTTTGGATGCTTCCTCTCATGTATAACCTGTAAAGACATCCTGAAGTTAATAGAAGTTTTCTCACAGTCTTTGTTGCAATAGCATTTTTTTTTTGCTGCTAATGGGGGTGGAATAGGGCAGAGAAACAAAGGATCCCAGAAGATACTAAATAAAAATTGTAAACATACCACAAGTGCCAGTACCACCACAGTGATCGCTTATCTCGGCAATATTACTGCGTCACTGGCTCACTTTCTAAAAGATGCTGTGCTCTGGTGATATGGCAGCTGTGCTCCAAGCAGTGTGCGGAATGTGAACCCAAGATTTTGCTATTCCCTGTGCCTTCATTCATCTCTGTCCCTCTCTCTGCCTCCGTCTTTGCCTTTTTGGCTTTCCTTTTTCCCCTCTCTAATTAGAGACTTGAACAACCACTCAAGCCAAATTTCCTACATTTTGTTGCAGCTATCCGGTAGCTACAGTGAATGTTTGGATTAAAACTGGGATGTGTATTTTGTTTCTTTCACGAGCCTTTTACTTCCCTCTCTGTTTTGGGGCCAGAAATCAAATTTAAACATGACCTGAGGAAGGAAAATACTGTCTTCCGACAGATACCTGACACAGTTATGAAGAGATTGTCATGAGGTGTCTTTTCTGCCTGCAAGAACCACTTTTTGGTAGCCAAAGTCTTCAGATTAAAATTGCTGTCCTAGAGAGGATGTAGGATGCTGTCATCAGACATCTGGCTTGAAGTCAGTGTGGTTTGATCCTGTGTCATAGACGTGTGTGGAGAAAGTTGCCCAGGTCCTTGTCTATCTGTTCCATAGCAGCGGTATTACCTTTCTCATTTTTGCAGTTTCTTGTGCAATTCCCCTGTGATTGTGAAAGCATTTGGAGGTATGTACCTCTTTTTGTGTGTTCTATACATGTTCCTGAATGTTAAGGTTTCCAAGAAATGGGGCTGTGTACTAGAGGTTCATACTATGCCAGTGCAACTAAGCTGCTGCTGTCCTTAAGTAAAGAAAAAGAAAGAAAAAAAAAAACAGCAGTGTAACTCTTGGCTTTAGAAACCCTTCCTAATCCTTGGTACAGCTGCCCTGTACATGAGAGAGAAAATGTCATGTTAGTGTTTTTCGAGCTGAAGGACATGACACAAAAGCTTTCCCTCTTTAATAATGATTAGTTATATGAGGGGGGGGGTGTTGTTCTGCTGAGCTTGATACTTTTAAATTGCTTAGGCTTTTTGAATCCCTAAGGAAACCAAATGCTGTGCTGCCTGGCCAGTGTTCTGCCCCTGTGAGCTTCACTTCTGGCCCTGGGACTCTGGACTACAGGTAACAGAACAGCAAGGGCTGAGCTAAATTCCCTTTTGGTAGTGGACCCTCAGGCTCCCCAGTGGATCTCAGCAGGGAGTGCATTTCTGCCAGCCCCACAACCCTAGCCATCAAGCTCTACCCTCCAAACTTATCAGTAGTTTTGCTCTGCAAAACAGACTTTACCGTTTTTCAAGGCAACTGCCATGCGTTCCAGTTCTCGATGCTTCCTGAAGAAACAGTAGAGTTGGGTGACGGAGTGAAATACTTTACTATTCATGTGATTTACAATTGCACCCAAAACAACTATCAGGCATAGCTGCGCTTGGAAACTTCCTTCCCACTTCGAGACCCCACCCATGTTCAAGGTGGATATAAGTAACATGCAAAGGTATGTCACGCAGTTTTGTTGGAGGGTGTATCATCCATCTCCTGATCTATTGCTTCGTGTTGGTTTTAATTTTCTTTCACTTACTTGATACTCTCCTATGTTTTCATCCTATTCTTTTCCTGGACTAATACCTGTATCCTGACAGCAGGATTGAACTTGCTATTGATTTTTGATTGCATACAGTGGTTTAATTCAAGGCTTGAGTCAGCATCTAGATCTCACTTGAACATCAGTGTGTCCACCCCATGGTAACCGTGCTTTTGTCTTGGTTTTTAAAACACTTTTATTTGTTCTAGTACTGTCCCTGGAGGTGGTAGGCTGCTGTGTGCTGATTTCAACTCGGTGTCTTTTAATTCCACTTGTGAAATTCATCTCATGAGACTTTAAGACAAAATGCATTAGTAATGCTTCGGAGCAGGGATTGCATCGCTCCCCGCCCCGCAGCTGGAAGTGTCCTCATTACTAGTTTACAGGGTTGTACTCCGTGATGGTTCTGTTCTCTGTGGAGCTATTAATGAGCCATGAATTCTGTGTTCTGGCATCGGAATGGCACACCCTCCCCAGGGGTGACAGGGAATGGCTAATCTCAGCATTGCCCATTGTTTGGTCACAGCTGCCATTTTCTGACTAGTGTGGAAGGGCTTGTACTTCTGAGGCCGAAAGGAAGATATTATCAAGTGTTGATTAATTATTTTTTTTCTGAATTTTATTTGTATGACTCCAGCCAGGTCTCAAAGGTGACGCAGCTCATCTCACAGCACAATTGATTCTGCTGTTACTGCCATAACCTAATTGTTTTTCTTTTCATTTTTTTGAGAGTAAAGGCATTTAACTCTGAACTTAGAAGAGACCAACGAGTAAAGCACACCGGTGAAGAAGTTGTGGATAAGGGCCTGAGGTAGGTGGCATAAACTGGATTGCTCAGAGGCTTGTCAGGTCTGTCGTTAGTCATCTGTTAGCAACTCCTGTGTGATCCTCTAAAGCAACAGCCATCGCTCATGTTGAAAAAGCTTGCTTTCTGTGGTATTCTCCACCCTTGAAACCCTGCTGTGTCGTATTTAGCTACAAAAGCAGCTCCGTACCTGCAGTTTCTGCTTCTGGATGTTTTTTATTTGGTGGTTTGAGAGGGTGCCTGCCAGCTGTCAGGACACAGGCACGGCACGGTTGGTTCTCCCTGCGCGTCCTCAAGCAGTAACGCGAGCCAGCGCGCTCGCTGACCTTTTCCAGGTGTTTTTTCATCAGCCTCCGATATCTGGGTTGATGGAGTTTGCTTTCCCTGCCTCTTTAGCCCTTTCCAGTCTGGAGCAGGTAACCCTGCTGCAGTGTTGTGAGGAGTTATACCGTGGTATGGGCACGGGGAACTCCCAAACCATGTATTTTCTCATTCTGTCTTGACTTTCCTGGTAGCATGTTTGATGGCGCAGGGCTTGATGTAATGTACAGGAGCTGCTGAGTCAACCCTGAGCTGGCAATGTTTTATGGTCCTCTTAACCCCATATAGAGCTGCCTGGTCCCTGGGCAGGCAGGAGAGGAGCCCGTGTTTCCCGCTTTGTTCCGAATCCCAGCGGGGCCAGCCTGTAGGAGCCTTTGCTTTCAGCTGTGTGCAGCTTTCAGCACAGATTACCCTGCCCTTCGGATGCCGTGTACTGAAGAGCAGTCTTTCCAGGCAGGGCCACAGCAGCACCCCTGGGGATGTTCCAGCAAAACCCTGCGTGCAGCCTGGGTTGTGGGTCCTTTTGGGTCCCAGCTCTGTATCGGTGTGATGTAATATATATGCATCATAAGGTTGTCTGTGTGCCCCGGAAGATTTGCTTTGGAAGTTGTGTAAGAAGGATGGGGATGTCTTTTGTTTTTACAGATTCTTGTACATACGATAGAGTCTAGAAAGCATGCGTAACTTTTGTAGTATTATTACTAATGGCTGTGATGCAATTCTGCCTTGAAATGGGACAAACTACATTCTCCAGAACATAAAAAAGAATACATTTTGAGCCCTGAAAGCCAAGAGCTGGGCACCACAGATGCAGTATTTGAAGCGGGCCTGAATAAATGAGAGTCAGGATGGCACAGTGTTGGGAATCATTTGCTGGCCCATGCGCAAATACGGGCTCCATCAAGAGGCTCAGGAAATCCTGCCTTCAAGCCAGCGTTGCTACTGTGCCGGTGATGCGATAGCTGGACACGAGGGGATTATTTGTGCCTCTGGCAAGCTGCAAGCAGGCTTCAGATAGCTGTGAGCTCAAGCCCGTATGTGCTGTGTTGCACATCCAGCCTCTGCCTGGCTAGCAGGGAATTTTACAGAGATGTGGGTGCACAACCCAGCTACCTGGCCTTGGGCAATTGTACAGCTGTGGTAATCCTGCTCCCCAAAAATGCAAGGAAAGAAGGTATAAAAGGAATGCAATAGAAAATTGTGGCATTTTGAATTGCTTTGGAAGAAGCTTCCCCCCGCCCCTCCTTAATGCTGCCTTACAGTTGCATGCCTGGAATGCTTGTTTTATATTTGCCTAAATCTTGATTGACACATATACAAGATAATAAACTTAACTAATTAAAATCCCCTGTGTTCAGATTGACCAATTGTGTCCAAAGTACACCTGGAAAGACTTTAGAGATAACATTTGTAAGGCAATGCTCTCTGGACTCAAAGAGAAAGTGTTTTTCCAATTAATTTCTGTCTAAGGGTTGGCTGTGATACTTATCCAATTGGCAAACCTAGTTTCAGATTTCAGCTTTAAAATATAATTGGCAGCTCAGCAAATTCATAAAATTGATCCCCATTCACACTTATTTTTGGCTTGCGTTAAGAATGTGCCAACCTGGAACTCTAAACTTAACCCCGAGTGACTTTCCCAGGGCCGCTGCCCTGAAAGGGAAGTCTGGCAGCAGCGCCTGGGCCCCGGCCAAGATAAATCCTGAGCCGCCGATGTCAGGGCAGCTGTAGCTTGAACCGCAGGTGAGGGGAGAATAAAAAGACACGATGAAGGGTGGATTTTGTAAAATGCCCCCTTTCTGACACCCGTTATTCAAGTGATCCTGTGTTTGGCTCTCGCTGCTCCACGGTGCTGCGGCTCCGCAGACCCTCTGAGCTGCCAAGCGTGCTTCTAGGGCTGCTTAAACGCAACGCGCAGGCTAGAGGTAGGATGCGGTGCAAATGCTCAGCAAAGCAGCGCGTCAGCTCTGCGTCGTGGCAGCAGAATCGGTTCAGCCAGTGCGATCCAGCCTCGCCTGCGGGTACGTGAATTGCAGGAGCCTCTCTGGCCAGGAGGCCCAGGCGAAGCTCTCTTCGTGCCCAGCAGAGCCAAGACGCCGCTGCACAGCCCTCCAGTGCGTGCTGTCGTGTCGTGTCGTGTCCGTGATGAAGGGCGTGCAACTCCTGCTGATGGGATTTATGCGAGCGGATGGCACTGGCTTGTGAAAGTCAGCCCTGGAGCAGCAAATCCTGTTGCTAGTGCTACCACATTGACACCTTGTGGTGGACTTGGCCATCATGGTTTTTAAAAATATATTATTGGTGTATGTCTTACAGGTGTCAATTGGTAGACTTTTCCTAGAGGTATTCCACTTGGGTGTTTATACTTTTTCTTTCAACACCTCTACTTAAGCTCCCTTGGACAAATACAAACATTAGAATATCAAAGAGCAAAGTGCAGAGTCTGACCTAAACCAGTGTCTCCCAAATACTATCCCCGGTTGCATATCAATATCATAAAAGAGGAACAGATATAACCACTGGAGAGTATTTTTTTCTACTCTTCTACTAATCTAGAACTTGGATTCTCTGCCCCTTTTTTTCCATAATATTGTTACTTTGACTTCAGCTTAAACATACTCTTTTTTTCCCCTTCTGCAAGGCTTAAATATGACCTATGTAACCTAAGAAAAATGGTCTAGAGGTTTAAAGATCTTCCATCTGTTTCTTTAAGTGAAGCCAGTGCTCCAATTCACCATATGTCATATATTATGTGCAAGCAAAAGGATATTCAGATGCTGAAGTTCTTCTCTGAGAATGTTTCCCTGCTGGAAATAACATTTTTACAAGCTTCTGTATTCCCTTCAGTCTCTTCCGAACAGGACCTCCTGTGGGGAGATCTCGGTAATTCTCATTCCGATGATAGTTTTGAGTAACATTTATAATTGTTTGCCAATGGCTGTGTATTTTTCGGCAATAACAAACTATAGCCAAGTTTGCTTCCCTGCTAAAAACTGCAGCCTTTGCCAGGCTATCGTGGCATTTGTGCCTTTGGTTCCCCTGGAACTGCAGAATGTGGTTTTATTTATGAAGTGCATTTTGCCATTTACCACTTCAAGTGGTAAAAGCCATCACGTTCCTCTGCGCTTCTCTTGCTACCCCTCCCAGCAAGTGTTGGTTGCTCTTTAGTCCTGTTAGGCAGTTCTCATCTCCCTGCAGCTCTTCCACTGACAATGCAAGGAGAACATTAATCCTATAGTAAAACTAGGTCTAATCTGGAAACCAAATCACCAGATGGTGATGGTATCTTTGTCTTGTCTTTGTGTTCAACCTTGTAGTTCAGTTACTGTAGTTGATACCGCTTCTTATTTAGCTGTTTTCTCAGTTGTTTGGGATCTCTGCAGATATTAAATTACAGATACTAAATTCAGCAAGCTGACAGTCATAGGAGAGCTGGACCCCACTTTGCTCAGTGTTGTGAGCGTGCAGATGGATGGCAGCCACCCTTTTCAATCTTACTTTGCACAGCAGTACCTTTCCAAGGTTTATCGTGTCATCTGTAATGTACTATACTTGCTTCTACCAGCTCTATGTTTCTTTAATTCTATTTAATACCTTTTTGGTCCTCTATGAGAAAATTATTTCCAGTTGTCCAGTTTGGCTGGTTTTTATGCCATCCATGTTTTGCTGCCTGCTTCTAGTTTATGGTTTTGTTCTGCCATTCGGTGTCCTGATGCCCATTTGTCTTCTGTATGAAACCAGTAGTGTTAGTAACTCCCTCAAATGTACAGTCTTGGTGATGGTAGGTGAAGGATGAACGTTGCTTTTACAGTAGGATTTAAGGTAGTTAAGTGTGTATGGTGGCTGAGTTTCTGCTAGCATGCCGTTTGATCCTTAGAGAAGAGAAAGCTGTACGAAGTCAGCACAAGCACCTGTGAACGTAACTTTGCCTCTGTTTCTTTCCCCAGACAGCTTTTGCCAGGAAGACCGCTTTAGGGCGCAATGGGAAAACATCCTGAGCATATTGGATCTTGGCCAGGCTAAAGGTATCTATGTCATGGTTTTAACAACAGCAGAACCCAAAACCAAACAATATTAAAAATAAAAATAAAAATAAAAAAAAGAAGAAGAAAAGAAGAAGAAAAGAAGAAGAAAAGAAGAAGAAAAGAAGAAGAAAAGAAGAAGAAAAGAAGAAGAAAAGAAAAAAACCTTCAACTGCAGGGCACGGGTGAAGTGAGAGATAGGACGCTATCTGGGCTTGAGCAGGAGTGTGCGGCAGAGCAAGGGAGGAGGTGAGCACCCGGGGCAGGGAGGGAGCAGGGAAGCGAAGGGAGCATGAAACAAGCGTTTGGGGTGGCCGGTTTGGCGGAGGTGAAGGAGAGGCAATGGGAGGGGGAAGTTTTTTTTAACTTGTGACCCACTCCATAAAGAGTGTGATAGAAATCCTGAGCCCTGTGAGAACAGGAGAGAAAAAAAAAAAGTGTAAAAATTAGGGAAGCTGAGGAAAAACTGCGTGACACAGGGGAAAGGCAAAGAGAAGGAGCTGGCAGTGCGGTTACAGTGAGCAATTCCGATAGTGCTGTTCCTCAGCAGAGGCACATTGCCTAATTTCCTTGCTGCCTTCAGAGGCCTGCCAGCCCTGCACGCATTGTCCTAACATTCTGGCTAGCTGCCTTCCATGTGCTGTCCCCACAAATCACTGCGTTCACAGCTTTGCTCCATTTGTATGTCCATTTTGATTGCATTTGCCAAGTCAGCACATCAGTACACCTTACTAAAGAGTTCCTCCGAGCCTGCTGCAAGAAGACTTCAAGGCGGTGAGCCCAACTCGGGGCAGAGAAGGGACATGGCTAAATGCTATAAAAACCCCTTCACTATCGATTGCTAGTCCTAGCGCTTTCTTAATAATGGTAATGACGATCGGTGCTGTAATATTAAACTGTTCTTCTCAAGGATTCAAAGCATCCCAGTCCCACCAGCACAGAGGAGGTAAATACTACAGCCGTCTTGTATATATGTGGGTGAATGCAGAGCAGATGCACCCTGAGGCAGAGAAGCAAAGGGCTTGTGGTGGCAGAGTGAATGAGTGATGGCTCCAGGAGTAAAACTGAGGTGTTCCCACTCCTGGCTTGGGGAAAGTCCGTGCAAAAGGTGAAAGATAATATCTGATTTTTTGTCTTGGATATAAGTACCTGTGTCCATGACAGGAGTCTGTCTGTTGAAGGCTTTCAGCAGAGGCTTTGGGGATTTTTTTGACTTGCAGAGGTGGTCTGTCACACTTGAAGTACAGGGCTTGCTTGTTCTTCCCTAGCAATCCAATATTTTTTAAGGAGGAGAGAAGCTGTAAAACATAATCTTGTTCTTTTTAGTTGTTTGTGATTAGTTCAAATATTTGCTTATAAAGTGTGCCAGCTCTTATGGGAAGTGAGTTAAAATATTAGCAAAAGTTCTCAGAATAATTGGCAAATAAAAGTGTTTGATACAGAGCAAGATTATTATATACTTTGTAGACCATCTTATGGCATTAATTTTTATAGTATCTAAGCTCACCCAATTAGTAGACTTGTCATCAATGTTCTGTGATGGAGAAATTTCTATATTTAAGAAGATGTGGGAGGGAGGTACCGTGAGCTGCCCAGGGCTGCATCGGGTGCAGCGGACTGCTCTCTTTTCCCCCTTTTTATGCTGAGGAGCTGTTGCAGGGGTGACTTCTACCCAAGACTTCTCAGTGAAATGTTTGTATCTAGTTTCCCTAGCCTCTCACCAAGGAGGGTGTCTATGGCTTCCTAACTTTTTGGGAAAGGGTGAGAGTAGACAAAGGAAGAGGATTCTCTCTTGTGAGTTTTGGGGCTTTTTTTTAAATCTTAAAATGAACTTGGCAGCTCTGTAATCCTCCCTTAGGAAAGCAGCCCATCGCCTGGAGGATTGCTCCCACTGCTTCCAGCTTCTTCTAAGAGTCTTGACAACCAAAAAGCAAAGAACACCAAGGGCTTTCCAAGCCTGTTGGGATTTATGGATTCATTTTCAACTTGGCAACGAGAGCTGGACTCGAATGCATCTCAGCAGAGATACCAAATAGCAACAGCCTTCTACCCTGCCTGTGCGAAAGCTGCCTCCTCCTTTCTGTTAGCAGCCCCTTCCCTTACCTCAGGAGCTGACAAAGCCAAAAAGAAATCCTCCTGTCTTGGAAAGTGTAAGAGGGTCTGCAGCAGAAACTCCTGAGTCCCAGATGCTTGTGCTGTGGTGAAATAACGGAACAGTCTGTGCTTTCCGTGGGCTCCGGGCCAGCAGCAGAGTTCCTCTCAAGCAGGCAGTGACACAGCACTGCTGCTGAGCTGCCCTTCCAACAAAAGCTCCATGAGAAAAAACCCTCTGGTCAGGAGAAGAGCCAAGAGAAATCGAGTTCTCTTCAGTGCCAAAGTCTGATTTATTTTCTCAGACACTTTCTCAGCAGAATGCACATTCTATGTATTTTACTGAAAGATCCCCCAGAAAGACAGATAGAAATGAAAGAAAAATAAGTTATTAAACATCAAGAGAGGGTTTTGAACAACCACCAAATTCCTGTGCATCCTCAAAGGAAAAGGAGAAAAGCTTATGCACATGTCTCCAGCAAGCCAAAGGCCCTATAGAAAGGCAGCGTGCCAATTTTCCTATAGATTTTAAATGCTTTCTGTATTGAAATATGTAACGTACATTCCAGACATAAAAATAAATGTTGACATGTATGGTTATATCCTGCCCTATTGCTGTGTGTACATTTTCCAAATGCTGTCATTTGGGACTTGCTCTGTTTGAGTATGTGGAAGGTATTTTTCCACTCTGCATTCACACTTTCTCTGTGAGTGTACATATGTGTACAGCAGTAGCTGGGAAAGCTCCGGTACAGGTGCTTAGGCAAGCCCATGAGCCTGGCCTTGCATAGGCACAATATAGGCATTTAATCCATGAAATGTCTCGGGTCGCTTCAGTGTGTTAAGTGTGGTGTGTGGCATATTTCAGCACAACTAATGATGGCTGTGGAACACAAGTACTTTTCAAAGCATTTCACAGGGCATTTATGCCATAGTTTTGTTTTAATGTCATTTCTCATCTTTATGTAATATGCAGTGGATAAATTTATAAGCCATTCTGGTGACCCAGTTATAATATATATATTATGACTATAATTAAAGGAAAATTCATGACATATGGAAAAAACCTGTCACATTCTGTGAAGATAAATCATACCTCCAAACTCCAAATTAGAATTTCTTGGAGCCAACTGCATGGCCATAAGACATTGAATGGAAACAGCATACTTATTTCCTGAAGATTCTTTAACCACCACCACCAAAAAAAAAGCTGCTGGTGGTTTGCAGAGGGAAACAGGTCAAACTATCACCACCTTCAAAAAATGCATCATGTGATAATGTCATTAATTGTAACTTACTACTCCTTAGTCACCTTTTTGAAAGCAAGAGAATTCAGAGTTGTCAGTGAGGGCCATGTTTAATTCCTGCCTAAGAGCAACATCACTGATTGCACTTCAGAGAAGAATCTAACAGAGATACTGCAGGGTCAGAGAGTTTGTAAATCCCACCTGAATGTTGGACTTGATGAAGCATCAGTGCTAAGAGGAATGGAAAAGAAAAAAAAAAAAACAAAAAACAAAAAACAAAGACATTTTTCAGAATTAAGTATTCTAGATGACCATTTTATAATGTGTTAAAAATGCTTTAAAACATGTCACACTGACATACTTAAACTTCGGTAAAATGCCAAAAACCTTTAGGATCAACCTTAATACTTGAATTATAACCTGAAGAATTCAGTGGAATAATGCAGAGATTAGCAGCTTTACAGCTTACTGAAAACCAAACATGTCCCAACAGAACTCAGTTTAAATGTTTGTAATCATAAATCAGCTGTGTAATTGCATTATGGGACCATGGTTGGTAATTAACAGTTGAGTCCACAATAGTTTTCTTGTTTGATACAACAGAGACATTTTAAAGCTCTCTCTTTTTTTTTTTTTTCTTCTTTTCCCCTTGGCATCATCTGGATTTCTTCTTTTTTAATTAACAAGCCTGAGTCTTCAGTCTACATCAGGACTTATATTGAAGATGACTTCCCTGATTTGACTTACATTGGGCGTGATCCTTGAGAAGTGTACCTGCAGCTATCTTCAAGCACTCTGGTGTACCTCCACCACCCCTCCTAGTCTGTGCACACCATTGGTTTATAAACTCAAGATGCATCTTTGAAAGCTTACTGATACAGGGCTGGGCCTGTATCAGGCAATAATATGGACCCAAAGATGCCTTCTAGCAGAGAGCACAGCCCTGTTTTAGGGAAAATAGGCCAAATAATTACTTTTTATGCTAGCTGAGCAAGCATTCATGGGGGTCTGTGGAGAGCCCTTTACTGGGGACCACAGAGCATGGTTCTTTTATGGTAGTTGAACGATAGGTCAGGACTTTAAAAACATGTCTAGTGTGTCAAGGCATTAATGAAGTTCTATGCCATCCTGAACCCAGTCATTAGTGAGGTTCAAATGCTGATAGCCCAGTTAGCCTGAGCCCTCCCCTTCACTCCCGTGGGAGGTGAATGAGATCCCACCACAATGAACAGCAGTCTTTGCCCTGACTTGATGCCCCATGCGCCACAGCTGGTTGATGCTTGGACTTGTGCTCCTGGGACAGCTATAACCCTTACCATAAAGCCCTTTAATAACACTTAGTTAAGCCTCAGAGTAGCATCTTTTTGCCCCAGGACTTGTGCTTGTTGGAAAGGCTTGATGGGGATGGTTTCACAAGTTTCTGTGTCTTTGAATGGGTGAAGTCAAGCTAGCAATATCCTTGATATCAGGGTACAAAGCCATGACGTGGTTCACCTCGCTGTAAGGAAAAAGAGAGCACAGCTCCCTGTGTACGTTTGCCTGCTGGGCAGAGGGTGTCCTTGCAGCTGGGGCAGGCCAGCAGTCACTGTAAGAGGCATCAGGGTAAGCATGGGGTTTCTGGAAGAAGCCCAGTCTGTTGCTGGAGTCTAACAGAAAGGGCTGCTGTGGGGGCCGGCTGGGGAAACGGTGCTGCTGCTGCTTGCTGTACAAGTGAAGCAGGTCGGGGGGAAGAGCCGCGGACTGTGGCAAAACAAGGTGCTGAGTCTCCAGGGCCTGTTTGTGCTGAGCACCATGAGGGACGTAGCAGCTCCTCTGACCCATGCCGTGCATGCTGCAGCACTCCTGAGGCCAGCTGGGAGCTGGGAGCATCCTGCCCGGCGCCGGCGGGAGCACCCTTTGCTGGAAAGGGCATCCCGGTAGGCAGGTGTGGTCCAAGCTATGGGCGTGATGAAGCGAGTACAGGTTGTGCCTGAGGTCACCGCAGCGATGAGGGCTGTCCGTCACCTCTCTGTCCTGAGAGGTACGTATGGACCAGTTGTAGCCGTAGGTGTCATCACCAACGGATAGCGCTGACATCTTCTCCAGGAGCGGCTGGTCTCGCAGCAGCTCTGGCTGTAGCAACCTCTGGTCCACCCCCAGGTCAGAGCCGGGGCTGCCGGCCCAGGCACTGGACGGCTGCTCGGGACAGCTTCCCTGGGACCACCCTGGGTAGCAGGAAGCCCCTGCGCAGCCACTGGCTTCTCGCTGCGTTTCTGTGCAGGCGTCAGAGGGTGCAGGCTCTATTCCGGTCCTGTATGGCAAGCGGTTGCACTTCTCCTCCTCTTTCCCCAGGCTTAACATGACCTTGATTTTGGCCCTGAGTTCATCAGCAACCGAGAGCTGAGCTTGATGTGGTCTCTCTGGGTGGTAAAATTTGCATTTATTGCCATAGGTGCATTTTTTACCTGAAAGAATAAAAAAATTTAAAAAAAAAAAAAAAATCAAACAGGAGGTTGTCGCTAGCACCCACGTCGATTAACACACCCATCACTTCTCCTCAGCGCTGTGCATTTGCAGGGGCATGGTAAGCATAAACAGCAAAGAGAGGAAGTGCTATTTTCCAGTTCAGTACTTTTGACCCCAGATTTAAATATTGGTGACCTAGTATTGCAAGGTGAAGCAGCAGTGAAAGCAAGTTTCTGCTATTTTGGAATTGTCTGAAATTCATTTATGTTCCAGTTGCTGCACTCCGTGGGCTGGGAGACCTGCTGCTACAAAGGGTTGCTTTAAAAAATGGTATAGGGATTTACCTCTGGGAAACCTGCACGTTGCTGGACAGCTGTTGGGAGGGGAGAGAGGGGAAATATTTGGATGGCCTTTCCCAAGCACTACAATACAAGTCCACTCTGCAAAGTGAAAAGGGTGTGCAGGCTGGGGGGGGTGGGGGGGGTGTCAGCACAGCCACAGCCTTCGCCGAGGCTGAAGCCACTCAAGCAGGAGAGGAAAAAGCATCACGCGTTTGTGCAGCCCTGACCCAAGTCCCTGCCACGCAAAGCAGGACAGCACGTGGCAATGGCACTTGCCCTTAGCCGAAGTAAAAGTGCTGCTGGGAAGCAAGGGCCAGGAGGAAGAGGGGTGGCAGTTCACAGCACAGGGAGAAACCCACCGTAGGGGCAAGGCTGCCACTTTGGTTCAGGAAGCACTGGCTTTTTGCTGAGGAAGTTATTAAGAGTGGGTCCATGCCGGCCTAGTGGATCATCAGGAGGCATAAACCTGAAAAAGAAAAAAAGTCACAGAGGTAACAAAAACACCTCGAGCTTTTGGAGCTGAAGTGCAATCACAGCTTGCGGCACAAGCTTAGGGCAGAAAATCTTCATGCTCCTTTTGTGGCCTGGCCTTCAGGATTCAGGCTGCCTTACCAGACACGGTGCCCTCCTGCCTGCCAAGACAACAATGCTTTAGCTTCATGTAGTTGTTGTTTTTTCCTAATAACATAAAACAACTGGAAAGGCATGGCAGCTTGGTGCAGCTCTGGCCAGCCAGCAGCCTCAGCTGTGGCAGGATCTCTTCGTTTTTCTCTGAAGCAGCAGCAGCGCAGCAAACTCTTCTGTGGTCCCAGCACTGCAAACCTCACCATCAGCTCCCTTCCACAGCAAACTCACTTTTCTCTTACTAAATACTTGTAGGAGAATGAGGATTAAAAAGCCAGCAGTTAATTCGGAGTTACAGCTGATTGTGCACATGGTGTGATAAACAAGCCCAGCCTTTTTCAAGGATTCAGTAAAGGCTTCCTGCTACAAGGCCAGCGAAATGCTCAGATAACTCTCTTTATTCTTCTATGCCAGTACCTGAATGTGATGCTTCAGGAAGAAAACTAATTAGCATCTCTGGACTTATTTGCAAAGGAATCTGCACCGCACCCACCCATGGAACAACTCTCTGTTGGATGATGGGAGTCACGGGCAGGAGGGGAAGGGATGCACTCAGGGAATTTGGTTATCCACACAATGGGACTGAAACATCCAACTTCAGGCTGTGGTTTTAGAGAGGTTCCCAAAGCTGTGCAAGAGGGTCCTGCTGAAACTATTCAAACGGGCTTCACAGTAACAGCTAGACTTTCTGAGGGAAGGGTTCTGCAAAGGTCTGGCAATCCCTATGAAATAGGAAGGAAAATACCATATAGATATGCCTAACCCATTAGTAATTAGGAAAGAAGCCTGGTGGTAGTCAGAGATAATGGACTGGAGCTTTGAGAAATACAGCATGCTGATGTTCAGCGACTGCATTCCTGCGAACGACGTTCCAGGGAAACTGAAACCCAGTGCCAAGCACTTCCATCCAATTTTGATGGCAGGAGAGCCAAGTCTCCATCCTGACCCACAGTGAGTGCTGCGGTGTGAGGTGGCTTCTCCATTCGCACTCCTCCGTGCACACGGGATGTCTCCAGGTGCATTTCCCCAGCCAAACTGATGGCTAGTGAACACCTCTGCTGCTAGGAAACTCGGACAAGGTTAGTACATACAGACTGAGGAGCGCACAGCTTAGTCTCACAGGCACGGTGCAAGTGCCTTAATGAAAACCTTCACCAATGGGGATGGTTTAAGGGCCAGAGAGACCAGCTTCTCATCTCTCTCTTCTTCTAGAAAGTTAGGATTACAAAAGCATAGGAAAAAGTGCTGTTCTGCCTTGTAGGGGAGGTAAAAATACTGCCAGATAGCCAGCCTCCTCCCACGGATTTAATTCTGTTCCTTCCAGGAAATAGAAATTAAAAGATACCAAGCCTTGGTTTCACATCCCAGTTTGGATTGGAAAGAAGCAAAGCTGGTCACTAATGCTCCCATTCAAATAGAGAAATTCATTGAAGAGTGACATGGGGGGTTTAAGACCAAAGCTAAGGGAGCAGAAACTAAAGAAATGAGATAAGAAAAGTTGCAGTAAATTCCCTTCAGAGAAAGGCTCGCATACTCTGTTACTGGTGGGAGGTGCATTGATGTTGGAGCTGTCTTGGCCCTTAATGTTTAAATTCAAGATTGCTTAACAACTGTCTCTTACCTGTTACTGACAAAAGAGTACATGAGTAGTCGCTGCTCAATAAACCATTTCCACTCAGGGTTTTCATTCTGGAGATCCCGGTAATGATCATTGGAAACAATGATTCCATCTTTCTCATAAGCAACTTTCACTATGTAGCGATCATCGTAGCAAACTACCCTCTTGCCTTTCACCTTCCGGGATGGCGTATACACAAGGATCGATTGCTTTTCGAGCTCTTCAAGAATGTGCTGATCTGGTGGGGTGGTTGGCAGAAATAGAAAGGGAAAAAAGTATTTTAAAAAGAGAAACTAATTAATTAATAATAACCAGGTCTTAATCATGTGCTAGAAACCTACAGGAATCTAAAGATGTTTCATCCCTTTAGGCAACTTACAGCAGTATGATTTTCAGATGCACTGATATCTGGTGGTTATTTGGCAACTTGAAAATTAGGTCTTTTACAAAAGCATCTACTTGTAAAATTTGAGATACCCTTTTTTATTTTTAAGTCTTATCTGTAAAAGGATGGCCTGAATTCTACACCAGAGGCATAGTGAACCCCTGTAGTGCCCTTTTTACCCTGCTAGATGCTAGAAAGCTCATAACCAGCCCTGACATGAACTTAACTTGGAGATAAAATGTGCCTGATAAAATAAAGAAACTTCTTTTGCTGCTATTGGGGACACTCTGACTTCTTGTCATTCCTGCTATGCAGTAAGGTGGATCCCCAGCCGCCTCATCTGCAGACGCCAAGCTGCTAGCACAAATCTGGCAGGTCTATTTCCATACAAACTGAATCTGACCCCCTCCACAGACTTCAGCTGATGCAATTCCTTCTTCTGGAAGAGGAACCCATGTATCTCCTGTACCAGGGTAATAGGCTAACAGATAATAGTCATGCAGTAGTGAACGTTTCGGATACTGCTGCCTTTGGATAATGTGTGCAACGATGTCATCATCTCCTGGCTGGCCTTAAAAGCTCTGTGGACTTGTTGCAAGCTGACAAACTCCTTTAACTCAGCTGGCAGCAAGCTGTGTTTGTAAAGCAGAAGACTCAAAGCAGCGTAACAAAGCCTTGTAAGCAGTTTTAGTTGCTAGTCAGGAGCTTGTGGCAGTAAATTAATGACTAATTTAAGTGATGGAAACCTGATACACAACTTGCACTGTGTTTGACTTTACAGGGCAAAACTGCACCGGGCTCTTCACATCCCCTGTCTCCGGCCTGCACCCAAGGGTTGCCAAATTATGCCCAGGATGGTGACCTACCTGCAATGGGACTGTCTTGTCGAGGGGGCTCCTTTCTCCAGAGTGGGACAAAAACCTTGATGTATGTGTGCCCCCTCTCTCGAAACCAATCCACTGCCAGCTGGATCCCCCAGCAGGAGAATATCTCTTTGTTTCCATGACTATAAAAAAAAAAAAAAAAAAAAAAAAACAGGGGGGG